ATCTGCAGTCTTGCATATTCAGTTAGTTTTGGGTGGTGAGCTGTGGGTGCCAATAATAGAAATGAGGCATCTAATCGCTTGGTTTAGAGAGGCAATTTGGACACCCCACTGTTTTTTCCAAACATTTCTGGGCCTAATCGGAATGAAGCCCATTAACTTCAGTGGGCTTTCGATGATTTCCTATATACACAAAACTTGAAAAATTATGCTTGAAAAGAAATACCAAAGTTAAATTGGGAAATTGTAACAATTCTCTTTGTATTTTAATTTAGTGGCTGTATGCTGACAATATAATTAGAGAGATGCTATGTTAATTAATGCCAGATGACATTAGTAGGATGGCAAAAGCATCCAGTTTTCTAAAGAATAGTTTGCAGTTGAACTGTTCCTCTCTCCCCACCCCATTTTTAGCGGAGAACTATATTCAAAAAGTCAGAGACAGCTGTATTAATCCAAAAGTCAAACCATTTACAAATACCAGTAATGTGGTGTATCTTAGCAGATTACTTTCAAGCCAAATCTAATGTTATTGCAGAAAAATACATTAACCATGTTTCCTTAGTGCCTACATATAAAAAAAGAAGGAAGGTTTGCAGGACCTTGTGCTATTCTTGTGTTTAAAGTGGATAGTGGACAACCTAGCTGCCACTGAAGCTAAAGGAGCAGAACCTAGACTTGTGCTTTATATAGCTGAGCATTTGAAAGGTAATTTTTGGTTTAGGGTTTGTGGATTTCTTGGGGTCCATCAGATAATTTGAAAAGGATTTGCAGTGACGAGGCAAAACATGTTCACATTCAGTGTGAGTCCATATATGCTGTGTTCATATACCGTGTGAGTTCATCTATATTAAACATCAATCTATACATGTAAAATTTCTAGGAGGTCCATACCACTACAGGAAATTTGATAGGCAATAAAAATTAACACCCCATGAGAACTATAGCCTTTATTTTAACATAAACTCACATATTTAAAATTGCATGTCTAGAGATATTTATCTCTGGATGTAAATATTTATATATTTAAGTTCACTGTATACTGTCCTATATATGTCTTGTAGATCCTGTCTTGAGTAGAGTTAGTGAGTTAAAAGTCTTGGGGAATATAATTGTATCCTGCTGTGATGGCAAACAAAAAATTGTAAGGGCATTTGTACTGCTCTAGATAGGACTTGAAAGAAAAATCTTCTGTAGGTGGTCTTAACAACAATAGGGCAGCATAACAAAGTTGGCAGGACTTCCTTAAAAGTCTTAATTTTCCTGGGAGGAGAAGAGGAAAAGGTAAAAACTGAAGGCTGGTATGTACATCCCAAATGACAGGAATGTCTCAAATGCTGCTCCTGAGTGACACATGCATGGAATCTTACACCAGAGCAAAATAACGTGGCTGCAGAAAACAAAACACACAGCCTATATAAACCCATGCAGCCAGGTCAAATGTCTTCAAAAATTTGTCATGTAAACACTTCACATGTGCAGACTGATCAGCTAGTGTCTGTCCTTGTGCAAAGTACCATAGTGGTGGCCTAAAAGCATGAAACTACCATTAAAGCCAGTATTGTGGCCTCTGGCTAAACAGACTGAAGTATAACCATCTGCTTATGCATGGCCAGGACTGAATCTATATTGGTGGTTATCTGACAATGTATGCATCACTACTGGCCATACTGGCCAGGGACCCTTGGCCTATCTATGTGTGACCAAAAAATGCTCTTTACTAATATTCCTAATTCACGGCAGGCAAACTTGAAGTTGCATGAACCCACTTATCTTCCTGTAGTAACTCTACATTGGCTTTGCATCTGCTTTGCATAGACTTCAATGCCAGGAAAAGCCACAGGAAAATTAACTCTTGTCTCAGCTTGTCTGACACTCTCTGTTAACAGGGAAAGCTTACTATTTATCTTGATGCTGGAGTTGTATTTTACATTTCCTCCCCCCCACCTTGCAACTGCTGACGGGTGGTGAAAGCTCATATATTCTCAAAGTTAAAATGTCACTGAATTTATTGTATAATCTTTGGGATTGGACAAATCTGAGTAGCGTAATTATGTGTCTGATGGGATTATACTTGGCCTAGTGCTTGATATTGTAAAGGAAGCATTTTGTCAGAGTAAGGAGTTGTGACTGGTGATTTGCCCTCGAAGATCCATATCCATGGAGGATCCAGAAGACTGGGACTGGAATATTTTAATGCAAATGTGAAGAAGCCTTTGAATTGATGAATATGCTTTAACTTCACAAAAGTATTTAGCTCCAGCACACTGAAGTGTTTTGGGATTTGAGGATGTGCATCTTCCTTGCCTGTGTGCAGAATTCTCTGTGCAAATTGCATTGAAGAAACAATCACTAAAATGAAGTCAGTAACTTATAGAGCAGCACTTTTGCAAAATCTAGGAGGTCTTGCATCACTTGCGCAGACTTTTCACCAGCTTTCATATCAATGCAGTATATGGGCTGGCACTTAATATTTTCGATCAGCTCATTTATTTCAGCTTGTTTTCAAACCACTTCACACACAAGCCTGAGAAGCTATTTCTAAGTGAAATTTAATTGAAGCAAACAGCAGTTTCATAATAGACATTTATAAACAAATCTGTGCATAAAAAAAAAAAATCAAGCTTTGCATTCTGCTTTTTCCAGAATCTGAACAATTCCTTTTTCCTCCCAATGATATGCAAAATGATTGTTTGCACATTTCATTGAGATCGTACGGAGATACGACAATTCAAGCTGTCATCAGGACCTGAATTTTTCACAGGGAAGGTTCTAACAAAGGCAGCTGTTCTCCGGATACTCTTCTGATCCCAGCTGTGACTGTGTGGGTTTAAAGATGAACAGCTTCTCCCCATATAAAGCCCTCTAGATGAGAACAAACCATCAAAGCTGTTTGTGGAACACCAGCATTATGTGCAGAACTGGGCAAGTTTTCCTGTTACGCAGACATTTTCCCACTGCATTTGGAAGAACCACAACACTCAAATAGTTTTCCTAGGGGGGAGCAAAATACGAAAGTGAGATCCGGCTATCCTAAAATTGCTGATCGGGGCGTTTACCTCAGTTACCGAACATCTGCATTCAAATCCTTTCTTTGCCTCTTTCACACCACAGATGGGAATGTGGGTTTCCCACATCCCAAGCTTGTGGTTTTACCACCAGGCTACTTGTTCTTTGAAAGCAGGTCTTTCTTTTGGTTTTTACATCTGCTCATGTGAGGTAGCCTACTTAATAAGCAAACTGAATCACTCAGTTTTAACTCTAATTTGTGAGATGATTTCATGCTACACCGTCACATGTGTTTTTGCCAGTCTTTTTTTTATTGAGGCTGTTGGGAAACAATCTAATAAGATTTAACACAAAAATGACCAGGTTACTAACACCTAAATCTCTGGGAGACGAGAAATGGGGATCATAAAGAGTTTCCCAATTTCATTTTCTCCGCAGCTCATGACAGTATATACCCTCCCCCTGTATATGAGTATCCTTACAGAAGCTCCCATAGGAGTCCACAAGACTTTTGGCACTGATTTCAGTGACAGAAGAGACTCGTTTCAAGAACACAGGAAAAGCTTGTCTGATCTTTTGCTGTCTTTGCCTGAAGAGACACCATTTTTCACACAACAGCTCAAAGATGTGTTTGTTTTCCACCTGAGTCTTAACACCTTAGCATCAGGGAGTAGTGCTGAACACCACCACAGGGGCTTTGGCTTATTTACGTGTATTAATCATAGGAACACACTTTCTAAATTAGACAGCATAGTTCCAGAGGGTTAATGCCTTCGATGCTCGTCTGGGCATGGCCCAAAAGCAGAGCGCCTTAGCTGCACACTGAGAAAGAAGCTGGAAGTTGTCACACGCAGTTGCAGAGAACAAAGCTCCAGCCTCTTAAATTAAAACTCTTGCACACCAGATGTGTAGACACGACGTATTTATTTTTGACCTTCCAATTTAAAGAGGGAAAGCAAAACTGGGCAAATTAATCCCTTGTGTGAGCCAGTCGACACCACTGGAGTTACCCTCTGAATAAGCTTTGTTAGGAATAAGGTTCGCTACCTTTGTCTGAGACCTGGCGATGTGTTTCAGAAAAATCTTACTGTTTGGGATGTAACACAGGCATATAAATGACATTACAGTATATTAATCAACACATTAGAGCCTTTCAATTACAGGGAATTATGGTTTTGCCTTTTCATAAGAAAACAGGCTTCACCATGCAGTTGTTAACTTCCTTCCGAAAAAAACCCCGTGTTTATTAACTTTTATGCAGAGCATCCCGGTAGCCAGTTTTTGAAAGGAGTGCAAGCCGACCAACTTTAACGGGCGCCTAAGTTTTGCAGCAGTTCCGCAAGGCCTCTGCTGACACTTTCACGACCGGCTACGGATAAAAACGCTTTTTATATTCAGCCAGGGACTATCTTACGCCTGCCCCGGCCGGGCAGCCAACTCGCTCCCCTCAGGACGAACCGGTAGAAAGCCCTTACGCCTCACGCCCTCCGTGGCCCCGCTCTGAGGAGCCGCGGCGGTGCGCGCCGGGTCCCCGCCGGCGATGAGGGAGGGGGAAATGGCGAGGAAACGCTGGGAATTGCGCTTATTTCCCTCCACCGCCCTCAGAGCGCGCACTTCCCGGGTAGGCTTTCCCTCAGGTTGAGACGCAAAACGCCGCCTCCGAGCCCCTCCGGTGCCGGCGGGCGGCGGCCCCGACCTCTCCCTCCTCCTCCTCCCCCCCCTCCCGCCGCGCCGCCTCAACCGCCCGCG